ATGGGGTTCGAAACCAAGGGAGAAATGTAGCAGAATATGTTCTTATGAAATAACTGACAGTATGGGCGTATTTTTAAATCACCATTCTGGGAAAATAAATGTCAACAAATCTTCAGAAGAGTGCCTTTCCCTTTCTCCCCCATCCCTGTGCACCATGGTCTAAGGTAGGCTGTCCTCCCTGAGAGCTGACCCAGGGCCCTAGCTGAAGGTCACCAGCGTCTCTGCATCTAGCTTAACAGGTCTCTGGAAGCCACTTCATACTTCTCTGAGGATGAAGAGATGTCCCTGACGCTGTCCAGCTAAGCACCAAAGAATTGTTGTCATTTTATGATTGCAAAGCAAGCCACGCTTATTATCAAGCAGGAATTCTCTGATAACATGGGGGAGCCTGAGCCTAGCACCTTCTGCACGTTCAGAACAAGAATTGCAGAGTTGTTCCTTCCACAGAGCATTCTGCTCTCCAGCCGGGCTCTGTAACATCCAGCCACGGAAGCAGAGGCCACTAACCGTGTTCCTGCTGCAGGGAAGCCGCATATGTGTCCTCCCAGCCCTTGCATGGTTTACCTTAACACTGCCTTCCCGACACAGACTGGTGGGCCCGAAACTCGGCTCTCAAAGAGCCTCCTTAGCACTGTTTCTACAATAAAGTGGAATGGCTCCAGAGAAGCCACGGAGGCCCATCAGGAAACAATACACACTTTTTAAAGGTCCCAAATATGTATTTTACACAGTAGAAGAGAGCAGCCTGGAAGAAGTGAAAGTCTTTTGACTAAATAACAAGGAATTGTGTAACCCACACTTCACCCTTCAAAATGGTTTAGTGAGTTTGGGAAAGCTTGAGGATTAGTACGGACCTGCTGCCTGGTGTCTGGCCAAGAGGAAGGTGGCGGGAGGGGCCCCTGGGTGAAAGTGAGTATTACTTCTTTTAGTTCATATCCGCTATGGCAAGGGGCCCAAGGACCAGATGGGGCGATGTGAGCACACACCTACTTAGGAGAGTTTCAACCTCTTTAGAAAAGAATGCTACCAGGAATGACTCTGAACTAATGTGAACATGTTTAATGCCACTGCTTTATGTGCTTAAAAATAGTTGAAATAGGGGACATTTATTTTCTTATAATTAAAATATATAGGAAAGAAAGAAGTATCTTAGTCACTTGCATTGTTGCTGAGATTTAAGACCTGACACACATAGCTTAAAAGGGAAGAGGGGTTTTCTTGGGTTCAAAGATCTCAGTCAGTTCCAAGGTGGAAATGGTGTGGTGGAAGCAAGCTGCTCACCTCATAGTGCCCTGGAAGCGGAGACAGAGGAGGAGCCAGGGAGGGAGCCATACCCTTCCAGGTCACACTGACGATGTCCCCCTTCTAACCTGGCCCCCTCCTAACAGTTCATTCAGTCTTGAACTCCTCTGTGAGCATAGTGCCCCCATAATCCAGTCTCCATCCAAAGCCAACGCTCTGAACACATGAGACTTTTGGAGGATGTCCCCGACCTAAACCATAGTACACTAGCAGAAAATTTTACACCATGAAACTTCAGGCAGGGCATTATCAGAAGTATGCCGTAACTCTACCTCCAGGCTCTGTGTATATGACATATGTGTGTAAGATATCTATGTGTGTAAGGCTATGTGTATAAGGTGTCTGAAACACAAAGGAATTCCATGTTTCAAGTAACTTCCCTTCCCCAAGATACCTCATTATGTATATGCATATATTCTAAAACCTGAAAGAAACAATACAAGATCTGGAATAGTTTGGGTCCTAAGCATTTCAGATATGGGATCCTTAACCCACAGCTATAGTCTAAGTCCATTGGCATGGACCCTTTCTCCTAGGTCTAGAGTGAGAAGCCCACGTTCTCCCATGGGTTCTAGCTTGGACGTTTCTCCCTTCCTCCTCAGGAGCGGAGGATGTGACTCTGCCCACTGTGATGGGGATGGCTGAATAGAAGCCAGTTTGTTGCCTCTCTTGCTCTGTGTCCAAGATGTGACTATAGAGGAACGAAGCTAATCAGTGCCTCTGGGCTCACAGCAGTCCGTGAACTCCAGAAAGGGGCCGCAGGGAACCAGACTTCACAGAGCAGTGACAGCACAATCAGGACCGCACTGTAAATTACAGCCTTGACCTATTAGCATTGCCTACTGTGTTCCTGCTTCTGAATTCATCCTTTCAGATGAAGTCAATAAATTTTACAAAGGTGAAATATTTAAATCACAGGTCTATAAATTACTTCTTTACTTAGGTCTTTATCACTCTGTCGTAAGCCTTTAAACTGCTATGAAGCTGCCTCTTTTAGGCCAAGGACAGGAGTGCTCTGTGTACCTAATGTTTATGTTCATTTAATTCATTCCCCCCCCCCGTTTATTATGTGCCTCATACACATGACACCTCAAAACAAGAGTTAAGAGAGATCTATTGTGTAATTAGCATCATTTTTAATATTTGCCACCACTACCCACCTTATACATTTGTTTTTACAAATATGTGTTCCTATAGGTACACCAATACCTTCTTATAAAATTCCTTTGGTTAAATTAAAGACTTCCTGTCCTGCACAGAATATGCTGGTGATGTTAACTTCTGTCAGTTCTTCAAGAATGTTTAAAACTGATGACATGTGACAATACAATCTAGGTCCCTCTATCACTCTTAAATGTTATCTATATGGCTACCATGCTCATAGACTCAGAGCTTCGTGACTGAACTGAACTAAAAGGAAATTCTGGTACCACAAATAATACATTTGACAGGAGAAAAGAGAAGCTTCAAACAAGGAACATCTTTAGTGGCCTCAAGTGTTTCCAAGTACTTAGCTCTCGCTTCTCTGGGCCATGCAAGTGGGGGCCCAGCTAGAGGAACATTTATGGGTAGTTCAAAGCCAACAGATGTTCATTTTGTTCTATTTTGTTTCGTTTTGTTTAAAACCAAGCTATTAGCTGCTTTTAATGGGAGTTTATTTAAACTGTGATATCAATTCCTTTTGTTCTGTTTTAAATCTCTCAGTGTTGGAGAAAACTAGCCAAAGCTCAGGGAGATGTCTTGGCATCAAGACCCTAGCAGTGCAGAACCCCTTCCCACCCTGCCCCTGGGACTGTCCCACCCAAGCCCTTTGGCTCTCAGGACTTGAACTTGCAGAGCCAGCTGGTGCTGCCTGACCAGCTGCTAACTCTGGGCTCTGGGCCCCGATCCCCAGCCAGCCGCACCACGCCGCCCTCCCAGTCACAGCCTCGGTCTGCACTGGTGAGCTGGGCTGGCTGCCTTTTGCAGACCACATCTCAGCCAGATAAGCTCCTCTGCTGCCGCGGAAAGGTTAATGTGCTCCCGCTAACCAGAGCAGCCTGCCCTTTCTGAGCATCCAGCTCTCTGCCCTGTGCTGGCTGGTGGCCTGCAGAATGTAACCATTTCTGCCGGTGCCCCTGTCATGGGCTGCCCAGGATCAGGCGTCTGATCCACACAGTTCCAAGCGGATTTCTCAGCCCTGCTCCCTCCTGTAACGCTCCTTGGCTTTTCACAGTGGCTCCCCCTGTGAAGCATCGCCCAGCGTGATGCTGGTCATAATAAGTTCAAGCTTTTGCAATAGAGAAGGGAACAAAGAGGTAGAGGGAAGGCAGAGGAAGGGGAGAGTATGAGAAAGGGATGAGAAAAGAATCGAGATGTATGAAGTACAAGTGCCAACTCCCTACAAGGAATGTAATCATGATAGACTGCAAACATGTACTCATAAAAATAAAAAGTTTTTAAAATGCCAGAGCAGACCAAATGCTTGCTCACCAGCTCTGATTTAGCCAGTTGGACAAGGGCTGGATGCAGCCCATCCCGGGCCGACCATCCAGAGCTCTGGCAACTCCTCGCTTGGCCTCGCGATGGCTCTGTCTGCCCTGCTCACAACCAGGAAGTCAGGGTGCCACTTCAGGCTGCAGATCTGCATTTTAAAGTGGAGACAGAAGGCCCTGGCCAGCCCCCTAATCCTGGTGCTGGGAAGAAGAGCTGAGGAAAGTAACAGATCCTACGTGAGCCTAGTAGATCAGGGTGCTGATTGCCTAGGAGAATCTGCAAAGGAGGTCCAGGCCCTCCCCAGTCATCCCAAGCCTGTGAGCTACTTAACCACAGTGCTGAAAAGACAAGGGGCCTTCAGGATATTGGAAGAGGACCACAAAGCCATGGATTACCCATCCCTCTCCCAACTTCAGGGTGTGAGGCTTCCACCTGGCCTCTTGCAATTACCATCCCATTTCATTCCCAGAAAGCCCTCTGGGCAAATGTCATTATCTTCCTCTTAGGCATGGAAAACTGATACCTAGAGAGGTACAAAACACAGTAAAGCATGATAGAGCACTACTCTGCCGTCAAGGATACATTCCCACGTTGGTAGGAAAACGGATACAACGAGACCATAATGTTAAACGAAATACATCAGAACAAACTTCACTACTACTTGGTGCTTTTATATGAGAATTCCAAGGCATAGAGAGCAAAAGAAAAGGCAGGTAATGGGAACTAGGAAGAGGGATCCTCTGCAAGGGGGAAAGGGGCCTGGAGAAAGAGGGAAAAGGGAGAGAGGAGAGAGGGGTAAGGAGAAGAGTGAAGATGTGTCACGCACATGGACCAGTTCCTCACAAGGAATGCAGTCATTATACACCAGCAACACAGACTTGTAACGATAAAGATAAAAAATAACACAGTGCAGGGACAGCTGGCTGGAGCCCAGGCATGCAGGTAGCCAGGTGGTCTCAGGCAGAGAGGGTGGCACAGCGCACGAGTCCACTGAGAGCCTCATCTCCTCCAGCATTACTGCAACCTCTCAGTGCAGGACAGACTTCAGCGCTATTCTGAGCTGCACTCACAGCTCCAACTGAGGACCCAGGACCCGGGGCTGCTCCACTGTCCCAGCCACAAGGACCAATTCTGCTGCTGCGGGCATGGTCGGTACACACGCCTCCCCCAGGACTGTATACCCGACAGGGCTAGGACACCAGCCATCTGCCTGTGTTCCATACCAGAAGCACCTGAAGAGCACAGTAGCCGGTTGCAGACTGATTTACATGATGAGAAGGGGAGCCTGAGGCGGCCGTTTCCTGAAGGTCTTTTTCCTTCTTCCAAGCCGGAGAGCTGGCACCAGCACTTGGGAGTGAAGTCAAACTTTGCTCTCCTCTCTGTAGCAGTTCTGTGCCCTGCATCGTTCAAAATGTGGGCCTCAGCTCTGCACTGTGGCTGTGGCCGTGGCCACTCATTTGCCCAGCTTGTTTGCTTTGCAGTGAGCTCCGGAGGGGTGGACACAGCGCCAGCTCCCTGGAGGTCAGGGGACTGAACAGGAAGCCCCAGAAGGCCTTTCTCCCTTTGCCTGTGTCCCCACAGCCCCCTCCAGTGCCTCTTGGTGGCTCGTGGACACGCTCGCCAGCCCTGATCTGACCAATGAGACGGGGCTCGATGAAGCCCAGCCTGGGCTGAGCACGGACATGCGGGCTTTGTTTCTGAGCCTTTGTCCTCTGTCAAAAGAGAAGAGTAATATCCACCCACACCTGCCTTCTGCAACAGGGTCAGAGCCTAGGAGATGCTGCAGGGAAAGAGCAGTGTAACACAAGCACTGATTACTATTGTACGTTTCTGGGTAATACCACTGCCACCTAGAAATGCTCTGGAGTGAGTGCCAGCTGGGATGACACTGGAAGGTTCCCTTTTTACCTTTAATACTTTTTATTTACCCTCGACCTAGGGTCATGGGTGATTTTTTTATCCAACCGTAGTTAATGGGATGAGGTCCACAATTGCCAGAGTAGAGACTGTTATAATATCAAAGCAATTACAGAAGTGGTGATTTTCATCCAAAATTATTTTAATTGCCTGAGACTCTGACTTTTAAGATCCACAGAGAATTCTTTGTGCTTCTAAAACTGTCCCCATCGGGATATAGTGCCCCATACCTGTCATCCCAGCACTTGTGAGGCTGAGGCAGGAGGATTGCTATGAGTTCGAGGCTAGCTCAAGCTTCCTCATGACACCTTGTCTCAGAAGATCCAAAACACTGTCCCTGCCTTGGCTGCCTGGAGCTGGTTTGGGAATTGTTCGAGGAGGAAGAGGAAGAGGTTTCTATCGGTGAGCAAGTGGGGGCATTGAGGCAGATGAGAAGCTGAGTGGATTAAACACAGAAACTGCACCCCTGAGAAGACATCCATGTGGCTCTCACAAAGCCCAGCCCGTGGGTGTCACTGTGGACTGTGCCTCTTTATACTTGTTAACACAAGTGTAAAATTGTTACTTTAATTAGTAACTAGGCTTTCTGTGTTAACCCTCCCTTGTGAGCTGCACCCCATGTTTCCTCAGCAGACATCCGGAGTGGCCTCCCCATTGGGCAAGCCTCACACTGATAAGGATCATCCGTTTAACACGAGAACCTGGACAAAGCCAGAGCTCCTAAAACAAATGAGGGTCTTCCTGGGCTTCCCTCTCTGAGATAGTCTCACATCAGAGGTGTCAGGCCATTTGCACCCCTGAGCAGCCTCCACAAAGGAACTAGCAGGGAAGCTTGCACAGACACTCAGCCTTACCTCATTTGTTAGGAGCAGAATGTTCGTGTGCCCTTCTTCCCCCAAATTGTTGCACTGAAGCCCCGACCCACAGTGATGGAGGCTTCGGGAAGTCATCAGACTTAGGTACAGTCGTGAAGGAGAATCCCCCAGAATGAGATTAGCATCTGCTAAGGCTCGTGTCCAGATGTGTTCCTAAAGCTTCATGCAGTCATAGGCTAGAGTTTTTCAGAGGTGGCTGAATCTAGAGTGTGTGAGGCTGGAATTGACTCATGGTGCAGTGCTATGCTCAAGGGCAATAAGATCAAGGGTGTCAGTGCTGCCTGCCCTAAGTAGCCTGGATAAGAAGATGTAAGAAAACTGTGTTTGCTACCTTCTACACGCCATGAATTGTTTCTCCTCTGTGATGCCCCTCTGCTAAACCACCCTGCCTTGGAGCCAGCCAATTATGAACTGAAACCTCTACAAACTTTAAGTCAAACAGAATTTCCTCCTTTAACCTTGACTGTCAGGTATTTTGTTTCATCAATAAGAAAAGTAAGTAAGACAGCATCCTTATGAGAAGAGACCAGAGTGCTCTCTTCGCATGCACAAAGAGAGCACATACACACTAGGCAAGATGACCCCTCTGCCAGGAGAACGGTTCTCACCAAAGACCAAATGCATTGCCACCTTGATCCTGGATGTCCTAGCTTCAGCAGTGAAGTCTTCTGCTGTTTAAACTATTCAGCGTGAAGAATCTTGTGTAGCAACCTAAGCAGACTGGCAAGCTGCCTCCAGGGATATAGGGAGGTCTCTAGCAGGATCTAAGGGATGGGGATGTAGCTCAATGGTACAGCACTTGTCTCACATGCATGAGACCCTGGATTCAGTCCCCACTGGCAGAAAAATAAAAAATATGGCTTAAAGTTGAAGAATTGCCTTCCAAAGAATTTTCTACCTTTTTGTAGTATCTCAATAAAACTGATGGCAATGGCATATGAGACCTTGGGGGGGAAAATTCTAGACTTTCAGTGCAACTTTCTTTCAGTGAAAGACCACAGAGACAGCTTATCCCTGTGAAGCTCCAACTTTATTACCAAGTATGTTCTATTAAACGTAATAACATCTTCTACCATTGGGATTATTGTTTTTCCAAATGCAACAGAACGCAGGTTTGGGTCGTAGCATTCAGCAGGTTCCCACACGCTGAAGTCTGTAGTTAACTGTGTTCTCTCTACTGTGGTGCTGGAACACAGCTGGCACATTTCTTTTTAAATACTGCTTTTTGTTGTTGTTGTTCAGGAATCGAACTAAGAACCTCACACTTGTCAGGCAGGCTCTGTGCCACTGAGCTAAGTGTCCGGCCTCCAGCCCATTTCTTTTTATAGAAATTCTAGCCTCTTCATATGGCCACTTCAGAATTCAAAATGAGCTGGAGGGTGTTTCAGGCATAGAGATGCAAACAGCGCTTCATTCTGCTGGAAAAGTGGTCAGAGGAAGCCTGCTTTTCATCCCTTCCAACGCACGCAGAAGTTCCAGAGGGAAAGGTTTTAGCCCTGAAGTCCGGGACTCTGGAACAGACCCAGAGACTTCTTCACCACCCCTTTGTCTTTGTCTCAGCCTCTCTTTCATCCCAATGTCTGCCTGGTCTCATTACTGTTAAGGTTCACTTCAAGCAGCCTGAAATAGGAATCTCCCAGCTCAATTAATTGTCTTCCCAAAGCTCGATTAATTGTCATTAGTCTGGTCACCTGTCATCCCAGCTAGGATCCTGTCATGCAGGCCAGAAGACATTTTGCAAAAATTGAAGTGGGAACTCTCCCACACATTGTTTCAGGGTGATGCTCTGGGTAAGTGTCATTTGTGCCCCTTCGGTCATTCATCCACATGCACCCCTCCGCTCAGCGCGGTGTGTGCTGGGCATCACAGGCCCTCCCATCAGATGGTAAGAAGGTCATGAGCCAGAGATTGCCAGGTTTAGCAAATAAAAGTCCAGGAACAATGAATAATTCTATAGTAGACGCATGCCCCAATATTGCCAATTATTATCGCCTGAAATTCTCATCTCTCTGGGTGCCCTGTGTGTTCTCTGGCAACCCTGTGCAACCCTATTTTCACTCAAAGGCCTTTCAGAAGAAAACATTCTGTAAAAATGTTCGGTCTCTGTTGGAAATTCTAAATGTCAGGATCTTGAAGGACCATCTGTGTACATAAGATGGAGGCGACTTACAGCACAATCCAGTCTCACCCTTCCAGAAAGCTTCCTTGAAAGTCAATTTTCTCTTTCCAAACAACAAAATGAGGTTGGAGGTGTAGCTCAGCTGTAGAGCACATGCTTGGTATGGTGCGAGACCCCCAGATCAGTCAGATCAGTCCCCATCACCAAAACCCAAATACACAAAAGCACCAGACTAAGCATTGTGCTTCCAGCAGGAGCAGCGTGAGTTGCCTCAGCCTCCCACACGTGTGTGTGTCCCTGTATGTGTGCCAAGGACATTGAGCTTGCCACAAGAGCTGGGCATAGAGCAGTGTTTTGAACTACTTTCTCCCCTCCCACCCACGCACCCTATGGGGACCATGAGACCCCACCCTCCGCACTGTCTAAAGTCTGAGCTCCTGCCCTGCCCAGTATGGCCCAGGGGTGCTATTTATAATTTGTATTTTCACAGTTATTTGTGCAAAAGACTGTTTCAATCAAGTGGAAGCCAGTGAGAATTCTAAGTCCACTTCCTCCATGTCTGTGATGAAACTAAAGGAAATTTTTTGTTGACCTCTTTTGACAGCAGGTGACAGGCAGGCCAGCATCTCAGCCCCGGCGTGTGCCCCTCGAGTTGCAGGGTTCTCATTAGCCAGGCTGCACATGGGTGACACTTCCTTTCAGACTGTCTTTCTGAAGCACTATTAACTCCCTTGGTTATCACTTCATATTAATTATTCATTGACTAACTTTATTCCAGCAGTAATTAATGGGGTAAGTTACACAATGGAAGTGGTAGTAAATATTATAAAAGCAATTACTGAAGTGGTAATTTTCATTCAAAATTGTTTTAATTACATGGGACTCCCGACTTATTTAAAATCTGGTCTCCACGGAGCTCCCAAACCTGTCACCACCTTGGTTACCTGGAGATAGTCCAGGATCTGTTCCTCACCTTTTACATGAGTGAGCAAGGAGAGCTATTCAGACAGGAACCCAGTGAACAGAGGCAGGACCTGGGCCCCTGGAGGGCTGCAGTCCCCAGAGCATCACCTGTGGAAGGGGCATTTTCTTCTAGAAGACAAAGGTACCTCAGGCAGGACCAGCCAGCTGTGTCATCTAACAGGACCGGTGTTCAGGTAGCCTCCAACTTACCTGGATGCTCTGCAGTCACCGTCTTGTAATTCTTGGTATTTCATCTTTGAATTTGTGTATTTTAAGTGAGGTCTCAGAGGACATGGAGGATGCGCCTGGGTATGGAACATTTGCTCACATGGGGACCCTCTCAGCTGTCAGCCCCTCTGCCCAAGGCCCTGGCTCCACCCAGCCTTCCCTTTCCCACCACCATCTCCCTGTCCAGCAGGGCATGGATTCATGCCATGTGCAATGGGCGCCTATGCCCAGGTCATAGCAGTGGCAATTTCCCCCAAGCTGGCCACACAGCATCACATCCAATGGGCAGCTGGGAGGGAGACTCTCTCTGTACCCTTGCCCAGGACTCTAGTACATCCCACTGCAAACGTTCAGTACATCAGGGCTTGCCTGTCCCTTGTATTGGTTGGACCCATGAGACACAGAGGCCTGACTTCACTCACTAACCCCAGCCAGGCCTCCCTACATG